TAAAATAAACTTCATTTGTAAAACTGGGTACTGTGGGGGGTATCACTCTAGTAGAACAGAACGCTTGTCTGTGTATCCAAGGTCCTGGGTTTGAGCTCCACCACTGAAAAACAAAACAAAAAAATATCAAGGCCCAGAGAAAAATTGACAGGCACCAGGCCAAATTAGTCCCATGGGCCACAGTTTGCTGCCCCGAATTTAGAGTACTACATTTTCCAGCTTTCCCCATATAGAAGTGGTATACATATTCCTTCTATGTTGCTTAGACTGGCCTTGAGCTCCTAAGTGCAAAAGATCCTCCTGTCTCAACCTCCCAAATAGCTGGAACTACAGGCCTGTACCACTGTGGCCAGCTATGCATTTAAGCACCATCCATTCATTCACTACAAATTTTTTACATGTCAGAAAAAGTACTAAGGATAAAGAAGAAAATAATAAAGTCTTGCTCTCTTAATGCTTACACTGAAGTCAACAAATAGACAATTAATAAGCACATAATGTAAGTGTTAAGCATGAAGAAAAGTATAGCAGGAAGCTACACTTTTGTAAGTGTGTGGAAAAGCATCTGCAAAGGCCCTTGAAGAAGGTTCAGAAAGTATCTAATATGCATAAATAAAGACAAGAGGATTGCATGCTAGAAATGAGAAAATAAGATCAGAGAAATAGGTAAGGGTGAGATCACATAAGAACTTGTAGACTTACGGTAGAAGGAATGGATTTTATTCTAAGTGTGATGTGAAGCAATGAACACAAAATGAATGAAAGCAGGAGAGTACAGAGGTATGATGTACTTTTTTTTGGTGTAATGGGGTTTGAACTCATGGCTTTGAACTTACTAGGCAGATGCCCTACCACTTGAGCCACCCTCCTATCTGTGATGTACATTTCAAAAGGATCATGAGGCCAGGTATGATAGTGCACACCTGTAATCCCAGCTACTTGGGTGACTGAAGCAGGAAAATCACAAATTCAAGGACAGCCTGGACAACAGGGCAAGACTTCCAAAAAATATTTTTAAAAATGTTTTTAAATTAAAAAAGGATTACTAATAGCTGTGCAGAAAATTAGACTATACAGCAGGAGTGGAACAAAAAGGCCAATCCATAAACTGCATGTATCTCTGCAGGATCTAAACATATTTTTAATTCAAATTAAAAAGGAAAATTAAAATGAGCGAACTTTTGATTGGCACAACTGAGAACAGGAGTGTATTAATTATAGATAAAAGTGCAATTTTTATTAATTTTTTAAGTACTAGGAAATACCAGCAAGGACATACAAAATTATCACTAACAAAGGACAGTAGTAAATTAAAAACATAAGTGAACAAAAGGTACTCTATCCTCACAGTTAAGATCATTTTCTAAAGTTCAAGTAAATGAGAATTAAGAAGCCCGCCACAAGTTTAAGAGCAACAGCAAGTAACAGAGTATGAAAACTCATACATACAAGAAGTTGAAATTATAAATGTGAGCAAAAAATTAGATAAAAATAGCAGTCTATGCCAGGCATGGTGGCACACATCTATAATTCCAGCACTTGGGAATTTGGAGCAGGAGGACCTAGAGATCAAGGCCAAATCCCTATCTCAAAAAAAAAAAAAAACAAAAAGAAGAAAGTGACAGTATAGCAAGCAAGGTACTACTATATTCATAGGATATCATCTCCCACACTAAACATACCACATCCAATTTGTTGATTTCATTGTTCCTCAAAAGCTACCCAAAAATAAAAACTAGAGCAAGTGAACGGCCTGCTTCACATATCTACAAGCAGTCAAGGTGTCTACTTTTGCGACTAACAGGCAAACCTAGAGAGGGTCAATGCCTCATCCAAGGTGAGTAGGAGGGCTACACTCTAAAACTATAGAAGTCAGTACATAATACTCAGACACAATGTGAAAATTAGAGACAAAGGCTGCAGTTCAGGGAGCACTTGAACCTGAAACACAGACTACAAAACATACTGCCAGGCAATAAGGAAGCTATTAACAGGGCAAGCAGTTTAGCTTAACAACAGCATGCTTGCCTCCCATGCACAAGACCCTAGGTTCAATCCCCAGCACCACACACAAAAAAAGGAGGCTGTCAACAAGTGTGCCCACTAGATTCCCTGCTGGAGGTTACATATCCCCTCCATCCTTTCCTCCTTCTCCTGTTGTCCCTCTTCTTTTTTGATTTGGTCACAGACCAGGAATCTATAGATGACTGAAAGGCATGAACACCACTGTCATTTACATGTCAAAGTGTATATCCTGCTTAAAAGCAGATTAAAGCAATAAATGTTTCACTTTTTCTTGCCTCCTCCACCAGCACTCCTTATTGGTACCCACATATTATTATGGGCTGGGTTGTAGCTCAAGTGGTAGAGTGTTTGCCTAACATTTGCAAAGCCCTGAGTTCAATCCCCAGTACTACAAAAAACAAAATAAGTAAATAAAAATTGAACTATTCACCATTTCCTGAACATATTCTATATTTTCCTCTTCTACCGCTAATAGTTTCTTAACTTCCTATATGGCTGCCCCTTATCTCACTCTAAAAGTCTTCACTTTCTTCAAGAGCTGCAAAAATGGCAGCTTGAAGAAGCTTCCCACAAGGAATACCTCTTTTCTTCCTATAGTTGCTTACTCATACTTCTATTTACAAATACTACAGCATGCTTGCAACGTGTATTTGTGCATGTTCCCTCTTACTGCAGATTGGCCTTCTGTCTCTGCTCGAAGCTTTTTTTTTTTGTTTAAAAGTCATGCTTGCCTTTTATGTTTCCATACAAATTATAAAGACATTTAATCTTCAGTGTTACTTACAAGGTAAATGAAGATTAAAATCCAGATGTCATATCAAGACCATGCCTCAAAAAAAAAGACGAAAAAAGAAAAGAAGGCCATGTCTCAAAAAAACAGAGAGAGAAAGCAAGCTGAATTTGGGGGAAGGGATTGGTGTAGTTTTTGACTGAATGCAGGAGAGCTGCATCATGTCAAGCAGAGTGAATACCTAGGTACCTGACAAAGCATTATATGAGTCTGAGTGGACTAGCAGGGAGATCCATCATGTAGAAAATAAATGTGACCTATTTTCAGAGAAAAGTCATGCCCTAGGAAAACAGTGAGAGCAGCTATTAATTGTGATAAAATCATTCAAAATATAGTGAATGATCAAGAAAGTCAGCCCACTTTTATGGACTACCTCCATGCAAATGCCCATAATCTATCCCTGAAATACACTTTTTCATGTGTTGAATTTTCATTTTATGCATTTTTTGCAAATTATGATTCAGTGAAAGTACATTATCACAATACTTACTTTGTGTGTAAGTATTGTGCATGTATGTAAAAAATGTTGAAACTTCCTCAATAAATGAAGTGATGGCCTCCTTCCTGTGTTAAGAAAAAAAAAAAGATGTCACCCTGGGCTCATAGCTTCAGCCTAAGTCAAAGGCTTTCTCCCTTGGTTCCTCAGGGCAATATACCACACAAAGCCTGTGCTGCCAGGCACAGGCAAATCTTCTGTTGCCTATTCTCAATGCTAACAGAACCACCCCAGCTTTACAACCCAGGACCACTCAGAAAACTTAATTATCCTAGATATTACTGAGCAATGTATTTAAAAGAAAATCAAAGAGACCATTTTCAAGCACTATGGTTCTGGAGATCTGGCAGATTCTATTTCATAATAAGACAAAGAATCCACCTAGAGAGGAGATGCAGCTCCCAATGTTTAGAGACCCTAAGACACTGCCTAGCCATGTGCTGACCTTCTTGGCCTGTGGTCCCTTGTCCTCCTCCCTGTGGGCCTAGTAGACACCTCAAAAACCCTGATAGCCTATCAAATTTTCTAGAAAACCTCTGATTATGTGAAAAATAAGATCTGATAGAAACAGAAGGCAGTCAACAGGAGAATATGACCTCAACTAAAATTACTTACAGGGGACATGGTTCAATAGGTAGAGCACCTGCCTACCAAGCAGAAGTCCTGACTTCAAACTCCAGTACTGCCAAAAAAAAATCTTTTTTTTCTTAGAATTTCCATGAGACAATCCCTTTGCTTTCTGTGAGGTAACTGCTTTTCTTTTCTTCCCCCCTGTATTCAAACGCTATAGGCAAAAGCAGTTTTTTAAAAAAACACAAGAGGGTGGTAGTGTAGTTTAGAGGTAAAGTGCATGCTTAGACACAGAAGGGCTGGGTTCAATCTCAGCACGGTGGTGGGGGATATCAAGTCTTGAAACTTCATTGACTTCACTTAGAATGTGACTTGAGGCTATTTAGACTCTCTGAATCTGTTTCCTAATCTTTTTTTTTCCCCCCCAATACTGAGCTTTGAACTCGGGGTCCACACCTTGAGCCACTTCACCGCCTTTTTTGTGATGGACTTTTTTCGAGATAGGGTCTCATGTACTATTTGCCAGGGCTGTCTTGGAACTGCGATCCTCCTAATCTCTGCCTCCTGAGTAACTAGGATTACAGGCGTGACCACCGGCGCCCGGCCTATTTCCTAATCTTGAAAATGGGAGTGCACCATGTTTTCCCAAGAAACAAATGCAGTAACATGTAAAACTTCTAGTTCAGTTCCTAACACACAGGAAGCCCACAAAATCATTACTCTCAGAGTCTATCTCTAAAGTAACTTTAGCACTCGATGCATTCTTGACTAGCAACATTGACTACTGAAGTGTTTTTATCCCACAAGCAATGACTCCTCTAACGACCCCAACTTCCAAGACGCGGGAAAGCAGGCAGCTCGCTCAATTTTACAAAGTCCGGGGTCCACAGAACCGCCGAGGGAACTTGGAATGCAACAAACAGAAAAGATGCCTTAAATCTTCAGCAGAAAGGGGTCACTGTCGGGGAAAAAGAGAAGGGGCGACAGAGCGAGCACCTCAGGTCTGCAGGAGCCCAGGAGAAGAGGAAATGAAATCCTTCAGACCCAGCACTGGGAGCGAGTCTGAGGCACGGGGAAGGGGCTGGGCTCCGCGGCCGAGGTGGCAGGGCAGAGCAATACCTTAAGAATCCCCCTCATCTTCGCCAAGAAGGGGCGGAACTCCTCGGGTGGCACCTCGGGATAGAGCTGGCTCCGCAGCAGCTCCTCTGTGATGCCTGGGTGCCCATGGAAAGCGTCCTGCGCCAGTCCGCTCAGTAGCCCACTCAGCGCCTTGCTGCCCTCAAGCTCGCCCGCCATGGTCAGCGGAAGCCACGCCCCCGCCGGGCACGCCTCCCGAAGACTACGCCCTCGACAGCTGAGCGCGTCGGGCCACCGGGGCCGATACAGGCCAAAATAGCCCGGTAAAACCTCGCCGGGAACGCCGAGAACATGCTCTTCCAGGGGGTGGTGTTGGCTGTGTCCGGGTTTGCGCGGAAAAACCCGCCCCCTTGAGATGCCACCCCCGGCAAATTCATCGACTTCCATTGCGTCCGCTGATTTCCTCCATCACCCCAGAGCCCACTCAAAGGAAAGATCGCTGGGTGGCGATCACTTAAGATGGAGTAACATCCTATAAGGGTGCAGTTTAACTCTTGAATGGCTGTATCTCATTCCAAGATTTGCCAACCTATTAACAGGACCTACCACTCAGATCTAATTGCTGCAAATCTTTACCCGTGGACCCTTGACCCAAAAATATTTAACTGTCTTCTGACAACATAATTCGTTTGCTTGCATTGTTGCCTCTTTCTATACATCTATCTTGTCTTTCCAGATAGATCAGTGGCTCTGATCCAAAGTTCCTTTCTATAACAAATATTTTGTCATTGCCTTTCAATCCCGAAGTGAAATGCATAAATAACTTCCTACCCACATAATTATAAAACATCAACTTACTGTTCAGTCAAAAAAAGGAATGGAGTACTGGTACATGTTACAACATGGGTGAACCTTAAAAACATACTAAATGAAAGAAGCCTGACACAAAAGGCCAGATATTGGACAATCCCATTTATATGAAATGTCTGGAATAAGCAAATCCATAGAGACAGAAAGTAATAGCTGCCAGGGGCTGGAGTGGGAAGTGAGAAATGACTTAATGGGTATAAGGTTTATTTTGGGGTGATGAAAATGTTCTGGATGCAGACAGTGGTTGGTGATGGTTGCACCATTTGTGTCTTTAAGCACAATTACACTAGGTAGGTAACTAGAACATATATGAAATTGCCAAATGCCTGGGTCTTTTTTTTTTTTCAAGGAAATGTGTTTGAATCAGTGACTTTTACAAAAGATGTGTATGGAGGGGCTGGGATTTATTTTGTTTTGTTTTTGCAGTAGTGGGAACCTAATCTGGACTTTGCCTATGCTAGGCAAGCTCTCTACAGTGAACTACATTCCCAGCCTCAGCGAATTTGTTTTAAATGAAAAAGATTCCCCATATTAAAGACAAAACACTCATTTCTTGATAACTTATATTACATTAATGATTTGACTAACAATGTACAAAGAAGGGCTACTAGATTTTTTTTAATTAGGTCAAAGATCAATATAAAAACTGATAGAGAAGTAGAGTGTTTTCTTTCCCCAAACTCCAACATTCCAGCTGTGTCCAATCCAATCCTGTTATAATTTGTAATAAATAAGCAAATAAAAACATCCTATGACTTCTATGAAGGCAAATTAATACAGGTATGCAATACTGTTAACAACAAGAAAGAGAAGTTGTTGGCAACTGATACCTGAAATGTAAGAAAGATTGGTAACTTTTTTGTTCTTTCTTCTTCTGGGGAAGCATTGGGGTTTGAACTCAGGACTTCACACTTACTAAGGCAGGGGCTCTACCACTCAAGCCACTCCAACAGTCCTTTTTCATGTTGAGTATTTTCCAGATAGGGTCTTGAGAACTATTTGCCCTGGATGGCTTTGAACCTGATCCTCCTAATTTCTGCCTCCTGAGTAGCTAGGGCTACAGGTGTAAGCCACCAGCGCCCAGCCAAGGTTTGTACCTTTTACCAAAAAAAGGAAAAAATAAAATATTCTTTCCTCACTTTACACAGTAATTGAAAACCTAGAACATTTTGTATACATGTTCTAGCCAAGGTAAAAAAAACTTCATTGTATTTATATGTAAAATGGAGTTGAGTTTTAGGTTCAAACAATAACAAACAGGTTTTTCACCTTCACAGTATGTTCCCTGCATGGCTGGATGTGTTATATCCCTGGCCTCTGTCCAACCTGTACTATTCCTCATCTTCCATTAATGTGACAACTAAAGTGCACCTTTCAAGGCAGTGCTACCAGATGTTTTAGGAAATGTTGCCTTCAGGCAAGAGGTATTCTTTGTAACAGAAAAGATATGAGCTATTTCTTTCCATAGGGGAATTAATTTTCTAAAAGGCAAATTCAGACACTTTCATGGCTCTGAGAAGAGCAAACCTAAAGATAAACTATGCATTTGTGTTGATTGTCCTTACAGAAGTTGCAGAGAATAGATGATGGAAGAGGAAAAGTAATAAAAGGGTGGCAAGTAGAAAAAAGCAGCATGCTGGGAATGTGGCTCAAGTGGTAGAGTGCCTGACTAGCATGTGCAAGGTCCTGGGTTCAGTACCCAGTACTGCAAGAAAAAAATTCATAAAACACTTAACTTCCAAATTATTCATCAAAAAGGTTGTAGCCATATTATTCTTTATAATGTTTGCCATCTAATAATGAAAAAATACTGCCCTATTGTTTAATTTGTATTTCTTAAATTTTGAGACTGAATTCTTACTTAGATATAACTATTGGGTCCTGGTATTTCTTCCTAGTTCTTTGTCCATTTTCTATAAGGGTTTCTGTCACTTAAGTGATTTCTAAGTGCTCTTTTTATATTAGAAATGTTAATGTTCACCTGTATTAAAATATGCACCTCAAGTTCAAACCCTAATCACTCTTTGTTCAACCTAATACAAAAGCAAAGTCCGGAAAGTTATTCACCAACATGGCTATAGTGTATATTTTCCAGTACCTGAGGATAGTTTTTATTTGCTTCTTTCTGTTTACCTGGTTTTTCTAAATGCCTGCAGTATACATGCAATGCAGTTGTAATAAAAAAATTATCCAAAAAAATCAGGTGCTAGTGGCTCATGCCTGTAATCCTAGCTACTTGGGAGGCTGAGATCAGGAGGATCCAGGTAAAAGACTAGCACAGGAAAACAGTTCATGAGACCCCCATCTCCAAAATAACCAGGGCAAAATGGACTTGGAGGTGTGGATCAAGTGGTAGAGCACCTGCATTGCAAATGCAAAGCAGCAATTCAAACACCACTCCCACCAAAAAAAAGTTATTCAATGAAAATATTAAATAAGTAGTATGTACTATAATTTTTTGAAAAAAATTTTGAGTCAGAGTCTTGCTATATATCCCACATCCTCCTATCTCAGCCTCCCGAGTACTAGGATCATAGTTATATACCACCAAGCCTGGCTCAAAATTCTTTTAATGAAAAGTTTTCAATAAGTTTAATATGAAAAGGTTTTAATGTGTTCTACCTGATAGAGACAAGCTGTGAGCTTTAAATAATGGTTCTTAAACTTTTTGTTATCATAAGATGCTTTTGGTTTCTAATAAAACCTCAGATACCTTCTCCCCAAAATGCAAGTACACATCAAATGTAGTGTACAGTCTCTGTGGGTTAATTTACCCCTCTGATGTCTTTCTATGAACTCTTTCCATGAGCCCTAAGAACTCTTCAGCAATCCCAGTTCTAATTAACCTTCACAAGAAATAAATTATTTATACCTCACTATCATTATTTAACTCTTATTCAAATATAAGTAGGAGAGGCAAATTTTTAATTTTATCCTCTTAGTGTTTTTCTGCTGGCCTAATAATTAAACTGATATAAGACAGATTAATAGGAGAAAAGTGTACACTTATTTAATATAAGTTTTGCATGACATGGGAGCCCTCATGAGGAAATGAAGAGCCACACAAGTGACAAATCCTAAATGCTTTTGTATTAGGTTGAAGAAAGAGTGACTGGGGTTTGAACTCAGGGCCTCATACTTGCTAGGCAGGTACTCTTTCCCCTTGAGCCCCTCCAGAAGCCGGGAAAGTCATTAATTTATAAGATCTGTTTGCACAGAACTTTTTAGTCTCAAGTTCTTGTCCTTGAGAAGACTCTTTCCTTCTGGAATGGGGAGAACATCTTCTGTATGATGGTTTTATCTCCTGCTTCAAGGAAGAAAAAGGAGTCTGATTACCCATCTGGCAACTTTTGTTTTTTAAGTACTTTTAAATTAAAATAATTCTGATGCCAAAGTGACATATTTGGAGGTGGCATATTCTGTCACCTATCACTGCCTGCCTGCCTCGCCAACAAGTCCCAAAACACCCAGGTGAACAATAAAAGAAATTCATTCCTGTGCCACTAGGGGCTGCTATTGTCAATGCTACTGTTAGAGGTTGGTCCCAGCTGCTTTTTTTTTTTTTTTGCGGTACTGGGACTTGAACTCAAAACCTCCACCTCCACCAGTCCTTTTTTAGGAAGGGTTTTTTGAGATAGGGTCTCACGAACTATTTCCCCGGGCTGGCTTCGAACCGTGATCCTCCTGATCTCTGCCTCCTGAGTAGCTATGAATATAGGTGTGAGCCACAGTTGCCTGGCTCCAGCTGCATTTTTTTAAATGCCTTTCAAACAAAAGACTCAAAATACAAAATTAACTTTTATTAAATTTCAAAACACAAGGTTTTATCGATAGCAAACCTGGGCACAGACCTATTAAGAGAATAGGTGTAGGCATCACAACAAGAAGGAACAGACCGTGAAATTTATACTCACAGGAAAAACAACACACCTAACTAGCAAGCCTCCCGGTAAACAGTTTCCCTTCCACTGTGGCCACACAGGTTTCCATTCTAACTTCCACTATGCACCTGATCCCAGGCAGGTGACCTGAGTGATTTTATAAACATTAAAATATAAAGGGTGGGGCTGGTGGAGTTAATCCCTTGCTAGGCCCTCAAGTGGCCTAACAAGTGCAAGGCCCTGAGTTCAAGCCCCAGAACAGTTAAGAAAAAAAAAAAAAGATAAAATATAAATAAATAAACATAAAATGTGAACTGAAATAATGTCAACAAGGGCAAGAAACTTGCCCTGCCCCCCATCCCATTTCTACCTTTTCTAATCAGCCTTTGTTATCATTCAGTCTCCACTCCACCAGCCACTCAACAGACAGAAGTTGAGAGTTTAGTTCCAGCCATTTTGCTAGGCTCTAGAAGATGGAAAAAT